CCAGTGTTATCCAGTCTTACTCAGTGGGTAGTGCCATAGTAGCAGTAGCTGGTCCTCTTGTGCAAGCCCTGGCCTACACCAAAAAGTAGGGGCGCAGGTGGCTTCCACAGGACGCTGGAGGGGGCAGTATCTGTGGCCTTTTGGTAGGATCCCAATTCGTCGGTCATCCAACGTGACGTCGAGAGTGACCGACTGAAAGGGAACTTCTCGGTTACGTATGGTAATAATTATTATAATTATTTATTATATTATATTATTTTTATATATTTATAAAAAATAATATAATATAATAAATAATTATAATTATTATTAATAATAAATAATAATATAAAAAAATGAAACAAAACAAAATGTTCACACTGGTCCAGCTAATTCATACCAAAATAAGGAAAGGATTATACCAAAGCCTCTGGGGGACCTAATATTTTGAGGTGAGTATGAGTATGAGACGCGAGTACTCATCTTTAATGAGATGGCAATGCCTAGACAAAGATGTTTATTCACAGCGATGGGATATTTACAGGCGCATGTTCTTTACTCCTTCACACTGCCCAAACATATGGCAACAAACAGTGCTTGTTGGGTTTTGCAGGAACTGTGTTGGTGATTGGGACAGTGTGAAAATAATCGTTATGTTCTAGATCACTAAATCTTCCTGCACCTGTCTAAATCCAAACAACCAACTTTAAAACTTTTTTAAAAATGTCACCGTTTGTTAGTATTTATTGGGTCAGAGGAAACCAGCCTTTATAGCCATACAATTATTATTATTATTTGATTTGATTTGATTTGATTTGATCTGATTTGATTTGATTTGATTTGATTTGGATTGATTGATTGATTGATTGATTGATTGATTGATTGATTGATTGATTGATTGATTGATTGATTGATTGATTGATTGATTGATTGATTGATTGATTGATTGATTGATTGATTGATTGATTGATTGATTGAAAATAACCGTTATGTTCTAGATCACTAAATCTTCCTGCACCTGTCTAAATCCAAACAACCAACTTTAAAACTTTTTAAAAAATGTCACCGTTTGTTAGTATTTATTGGGTCAGAGGAAACCAGCCTTTATAGCCATACAATTATTATTATTATTTGATTTGATTTGATTTGATTTGATCTGATTTGATTTGATTTGATTTGATTTGATTTGATTTGGATTGATTGATTGATTGATTGATTGATTGATTGATTGATTGATTGATTTGCCTTTATAGCCATACAATTATTATTATTATTTGATTTGATTTGATTTGATTTGATCTGATTTGATTTGATTTGATTTGATTTGGATTGATTGATTGATTGATTGATTGATTGATTGATTGATTTTATTTTGCTGCTTTGGTTTTTGCTGGTTAACAAAATTATTATTATTATTTTGATAAAGCTCGTTGATTGTTTTGTTTTTTTTAGTTTTGAAGTTTGTTTGTGTTTCTCAATGAAAGCTGATGGCAATTCATTATCTTGACATTATTACTTACCATAAAGTATAATTTGACTTTACAGACTTGAATTAGATTTAAGGATAATAATAGTATAGTAATATAATAGTAATAGTATGATAATAATAGTTAGTAAAATAATAAGATAATAAAAGACAATTCTTTAAAAAAAAAATTATTCTAAGATGTATCAATATCATATCAAAACAATTTATCATATTATAGTAAAATAAATTGTAATATTTTTTCCCACTAATAATCATTCACACAAATATTAAATAATCTAACACCAATGACAATTTTAAATGAACCAAATTGGGGGGGGGTGGATAAATGACTCTGTTCTTGTTGTAGATGAAGAAAAATCTACAAAGCTAGTATGTGATAAAAGAACATTATGAATGAGATTACACATTATTTATCACATGTATCTTTATATTTCTTCATGACTTATGCTGTTTATGATCAAGTGTTGTCAGAGTAGCAATGTCTCGGTTTAAAACTGCTTGTGTCAGCACTTCCTCCAAATGTGTTCTACACAGTTCCCACCTTGATTCTAAATGCACAGGAGCAGCATGAAAGTACAGAACAGTATCAAATAACATCCATAAGATGAGCCACTGAGATATCTGATGCGTAACAATATCCACAAGACTTCCTCTCACGACCTTGCAAAATTACAACCGTTGAGCACTGGTTTTAGAAAGTGTGGAATAAGTCATGCTTGAGAGGAATGGGGTGTTTTTAATAGAGGGCTGACGAGAGTCCTAGACCCTCTGCTCACATTTTCAGGATCTCTTCCAAGTCGGGGGTTTTGTTTAAAAGCTGTCATAACAACTCAAGCCAACTGTGTGTTACTTGGGGTCAGTGGTATTGAGGACAGCGACTGCCGTGCAAAAAGGGTTTACATTGTGGAAATCAGATTCAGTTGTGGCCAGATAAACTCTCAGCTTTAGCAACGAGCCCCGAATACGAAGCTCATTAGCGACTCCAAAAAGAAAAAGTGCCAACTCAATGCTGTAGCATCACTCTATAGAGCAGATTATATCAGTTGTGCACTGAACGCTCACTTAAATGCAAATAGAGATAAATTAATGTCTTGTATTTCTTGTATAAATTAATGTAGCATGTCTTAGTTTGCGTTTGTCGCTCTGTTAAGCACTCCTTGTGTTTAATTTTCATATTACATATGTGGGTCATTCTCAAACAATGCAGATTTTCTGATTTACAGATTTTGACATTTTGAATTTAATTCAGTTTTCTCCCATAAAAGTGGTGGTTAATGTTTATTTGGACATTATTAAAAATGATCATTTGATATTTGTTCAATATTTTTTTTATTATCTTGTTTTATTTCACAAATGAAAAAGAGTGTGTTTTCATTAAGATTCTAAGTGTCTGTATCATCTAAAAACACACTAATTAATCAAAAATAAATCATTAAATTACAACATTAAGCCCTTTTTGTACTGAACATCTTTTAAATGAACATTTAGCAATGCAACGGCATCTTTAAATTAAACAATATTTTTAAATGTATTTTTACATTAAAATATAAATTTACAAGTAACATTTTTGAACATTCAAAATGTAAATAAAATTAATAATTAATGTAATTAATAAAATGAATTACTGTAACTAATAAAATACATTTACAATTTTTAATTCAGTAATTTAGTTAAATTACAAATTAACCAAATATGAACAATTATGAATAACTTCTTCAACGTAGAGGCAAAATCCACCATATCCACATTTTAACTTCTTACATTGAACCTGATAGTACTTTTCTAGAATGTTTTTGTATTATCAAGCAATAAAAAATATGAAATAAAAAAAGGTGAAATTCTTCAATAAAAGTGTCTAAATCCTGCTTATTCCCCACCACTTAGATGAGACAGGCAGCGATTTATTTATTAATTCAGAATCCGGAGTGGAGACAGTGAAGAAGTAATCTGTATTACTCACAGACTCTAATCTTGACGAGTTCTGCCAAGAGGGATTACCCTACAAACACATCATAAGTGATGGCAGGAGAATACTTGCTCATAAACACACACGCCACTGCATCAAAGGCTGCGGACGGCTTGTCATGCACTCAAAGGAAGAACACACTTGGCAGGAAAAGCGAATTATAACCAGACAAGTAACACACAGAGCCTTGGAATAAATCAGACAGCCTCTCAAAACTACTGGAGGGCGGAAGAGTGATAGAGAGCTCTTCACCAGTACGGATGTGAAGAAAGAATACATAAAATGAACGGGACAGGGCTATCATAAACCATTTTCATACCGTCAGAAATCTGTAGTGCATGCCCTGGATGAAATAATAATTGAAATTCCCCGGTGTGCATTTTAGAAACATGAATGACAGCATCACTTCCTGTTTGTACAACTTTTTGTTGTATAAAATTTAGTGTTGCATTTAAAACTGGTATATATTAATATGCAAATACATTGTATGCTTTTGTTTTTTAGTTTTTATTTCATTTGAATAAATTTAACTTAAATTAAGTTCATATAATACTGTATTTTAACGCATATTATCTTTTTCCGCAAAAAGATGTGTGAGATCAAATAACAATTGGTAGATCCTCTATTGAACAAAATGTAGAAATGAAATCTGAAGGTCACCGTTTTGTTGTTACAGTGACTAACCGATTTGCTGTTTAAACATTGTGAATCTACTGTAAATCTGATGAACTTCAATTTCATATGACATAAAAAATTATCTTGCATCCAAACCCGTACGTAAGCAGATGAGAATGAGGCAAGACAGACAGCTAAAATATACTTCAGCGATATTCGGTTCTGACAGTCAAGGCGCAACTATAAAGAAAATGAGGTAACTTTATAAAGGAAAATTAGTGTATTCAGCTGTAGTTGGTCATTTGGTGCATGAATGGTCATAGCATGAATTAACAAACTTTGGTTACTATAATTCAAGCATTTCCAAAGTCCAGATTAAATCATGAATTTCCTGACAAGAAAAATAAAACCTCAACCAAGAGACCGAAACACAAATGACTGTATAGTTTCTGTAATCATAGTCATAGCTGGATCATAAATGGAAGAAAGACTGACCTTATGGAAACTGCCATAGAAAATCTTCTTAATTTCACTTCCTTCGAAAGTCACCGTTTGAAATTCTCCCTTGTAGTCGGAATTGAAGAAGGTTAATGTTTTCCCTCCGTCTGAAGACAGACAAAAAAAAAATTAGACTCAAGGGTTTTACTGTAGATCTTTTAAGTCAGCGGGTTCTCAACTGGTTTTGTTTCAGGACTAAGATTTTACATTGGACATCAAGTGTAGACTTAATCAAATATGTACTCCTTATGTCCAGCAATATGCAAAATTAACGTCACGGACTGAATCTGGAAAACTGACCATTTTGGTTTTAGCTACATTTCAGTGTTTTTTTGCTAGTGTAACTTCATGAGTGTATGGTTAGTTGCATTTTATTATTTGCATTTAGCAGTGTCACTGTTTGCAACCCATTTTTGGGTCACGACCCACCAGTTGAGAACAGAGCATGTGAGCAGAGTGGAGTGGCAACAATTTCCCCTCTGCACTCCAAGCATTCAATAATCATTCAGCTCCGGGTTCAGCATTTCCCGCTCTTCGCTCCACTAATCAGAAACACCGCTCCGCCTTCACTCCATGACGAAATTTGCAGCTAAAGTATTTCAGTATGTTTTGAAATATCACAAAGTTCTGTTCAGAACTTATATTAAACGAAAAATACTAGACAATACTAGATGTATATTTTTAACGTATTAAATGACTGTTTAACTCACTTGTCTGTGCATCATCTCTCTACTATTGCGAAGCTGAGGGTTGTAGTTACTTCAGAAACAGAAAGAATATGCTGCAACTTTTCTGTTTTTAAGCTGATAAATCACAGGACAGCGTTGACAATCATTTTCTGCAGTCTTGAATGTTTCTATGTGCGCGTGATCTGTACGTTTTATGCGAGCTTGTTTGTTTGTGTGCGCGCGTGCAGCAATGTAGCAGCACATTAGTTTAGAGCGGAGATTAACTACCTGCACAATAAACTGTTTAAAACGTGAATTCACCCAATCAGTATTGAGTATCCACATGCTACAAACAAACATGCTTGAGATATAACCTCCCGCACTCGTCCATTGCCATCATTATACAACATTCACCTTCTTTCTGATTTGAGGGATCCACATATCTGTCAAGCTTGATAAAATGCAGTTATATTATGGGCTGTTGGCATTAATTGTGCTCGTGATGGAGTGGTAGTGAAGTGCTCTCGGAGCGAGTGAAAACCACCAACACTGACTTTCAAAAAAAAATCCACTCCTCGCTCTGCTCCCACTCCACTCCGCTCACATACTTTTTGAAGCACTTTTTGATAAACATATAATTGATCAAAAGGGGAAAAAGTATGTTGTACATTACAGTAGGAAATATTTAAACAATTTAAATCATTATTAAATAATGATTAAATTAAGTTTTTTTTTAATTAAGGATGAAAGATTTTATGTTGGGGCTGCATAGGGGCATAAAGGAAATCAAAAAGAGTAATACTCACTATCCAGGATAATGCCCACCAGTGGCTCATTGTTTTTGTCAAGGATTTCCCACAATGCAAAAGGTTCCTGAGGAGTTTCAGGCAGTATGCGGAACAGCATAGATATAGTGTAGTCAGAGGGAAGGCCTTCTGGATGTAGATACCTGTCAACATAAATCATACATATGCAAACTCCTTCACGCCAGGTTTGAAATAAAAAACTGAAACGATTTGTCACCTTTTGGAGAATTTTTATTCATT